GTCATGAACTGGATGAGGGTGAATAAACTGAAGCTTAATTGAGACAAGAAGGAGACGCCCCTGGTTTGTCGAAAGGCTGATCAAGGAATAAGGATGCAGCCTGTGCTGGATGGGGTTACATTCCCTCTGAAAACACAGGGGCGCAGTTTGGGGGTGCTCCCGGATTCATCTCTGAGCCTGGACGCCCGGTTCTGGTGATGGCTGGAAGTGCCTTTGCAGAATTAAAACTAATCTGCCAGCTTTGTCTGTTTCTGATTTGGCTACGGTGACCGATGCCTTAGATATAGCCTGGCTAGATTACTGTAAAACATGCTGCGGGCGCCTGCCCTGGAAAGTGCCAAGAAATCTTCAGTGGCTCCAAAATGTGGTTGCCAGATTTCTGCCAATCTGTTTCCCGGTAGAGTGTCACAAGCCCTAAATGGTCTGGGCACAAACTACGTCAAGGTCTGCATCTCCCTTTAAGAGCCTGATCATGTTTAAGGATCAGGAGAGGCCTTTTTCGGAATTCCCTCCTACAGGAGATTAGGGCTGGCCCCATCTTTACTGCCCATCTGCAAGCTGGTGAAGACCTTTCTCTTCAGGCAAGCTTTCCCCGAATGACTAGCTGCTTGAGAGGGTTTTTAAAAGGGAGTGTTGCACCTTGTTGATTTGAATGCATTTGGGTGTTGCTTATGTATGGTGTTTGTTTGATTCTTTGAAGTATTTGTATACTCCCTGTTGATAGCATTATACTGTCTTCTAATGATGTAAACCAACTGGAGTCCCTTTAAGGTGAATGTTGGGGTAAAAAAAAATAATCTCTTAATGGAATGAATGAATGAATCCCACCTCGAGTTCCATGCAAAACTGGACATAAATATACTAAATAACTTTTAAAGGATAAAAACCAGAATGCTATGAAAAAAAATATGACAGCCTATAAGCCAGGCTGCTCTTGATTGGCAGCTTCCCTCAGCTGTAGTCAGCAAAAGCTCTTTGACTGGCCAGCCTTAACAATTAAATTGATTAAGGTTTCTATCTTCTATACACTTATCTGGGCATTCTCTCCATTGACCACAGCAGCTCCTAAGTAAACCTGCATCAGATCAAGCTTTAAAGCTTTTAACTCTCCCGCCCACTTGATGAAAAGATGTTACGTGAAGTATGGGGGTGGTCAGTAAGGATGGGAAAATCTGTTCATTTTTACTTGCTCCACTGTTTGAATTTTTAAAAGACTGATTTTTTAAAAATAGCAAGAAATGAGTGTATCTTGCGAAATCCTTCAGAAATAAACAAAAAGAAGCTGTACTTGTACTTGACAAATTTAACAGGCTCAGTGATATTTAGCACAGGAATGATATTGTTGTGCCTGCCTGCCATACACTTGCTAAAGGTGAGGAGCCTTTCGGAAAAGAAGAAGTAGCAACTAGACATGGGAATATTTGCAGGGGGATACGAATACGAATATCAGCACCACCGGTGCTTGGGAAAACCAGACCCTCCCTCTCTGAACTGGCAGGTACACTTACAGTACTGTTCACCATGCCATGCATGCATCTGGTGATGTTCTCATCATGCCAGTTCTGGAAGCAGCCTGGAGGGCGCTTCCCTGCCTCCCTGTGCAACCGACCACTCCGGCGAGGTTGTGAGATGCTGAGTCTCCTGCCAAGTGGTCAACTGCATGGGGAGGTGGGGAAGTGCCAACTGCGCTGCTTCCTGGATTGGCATGATGAGAACAAAGCTGGCCACATAAGTAGCAAATGGATCTGCCAGTTTTTTTTTGGGGGGGGGGAAATATGAGTATCCCATGTCTAGTGGCAACCCCAATTTGCTGATAAAATTAACTCTTTCTGTCTGGAATGGTTACCCTCTTCCACTGAGTGCACAGCTTTGGAAGAGATGCACACGGAGCATGGAGGGAGGGAGGGGGCGAGAACAAAGCTGGCCACATAAGTAGCAAATGGATCTGCCAGTTTTTTTTTGGGGGGGGGGAAATATGAGTATCCCATGTCTAGTGGCAACCCCAATTTGCTGAGAAAATTAACTCTTTCTGTCTGGAATGGTTACCCTCTTCCACTGAGTGCACAGCTTTGGAAGAGATGCACACGGAGCAGGGAGGGAGGAAGGGGGCACCTGCCTAGCCGACCAGATGAGCTAAATCCACTCCAGCAATCAATGGGGTGACAGATATCCCCGCCAGATTGCCCTCACATATGATGGGGACAATGGAACATGTTCTGCTGAATTGCACATTTTATAAAGATTTGTGCAGTCTACCTTTCCCCCCAATTTTAAAACATCCAGGTAGACCCGATCAATTTTACATCTCTTTTCTCCTCTCCATTTCCTCAAGTGAAATTACAGCTGAGGTTGCAAAATTTTTGTGCAGCAGCTTGTATAAGGAGAAAACAAAATGACTGAATCACTTCAATAATCAGATCCAAAATTTACACTTAACTGCAATTTGAATTTCAGTCTGCTTTGTATTGATTGCAAATATCGCACGATTTGTTTCTGTATTTTAGTTTTGTAAATCTAACATAGAATCGTAGACTCATGAAGTTGGAAGGAGCCTATAGGGCCATTAAGTTCAACCCCCTGCTCAAGGCAGGAATACAGATGATATCTGCCGGAGGTTGTCTAAATTTCTCTTGAATGCATCCAGTGTTGGAGCACTCATCATCTCTCAAGGTAATTGGTTCCATTGTTGTACTGCTCTAACAATTAGGAAGTTTTTCCCTGATATTCAATCGAAATCTGTCTTCCTGTAACTTGAGCTGGTTGTTGCATGTCCTGCACTCTGGGATGTTTGAGAACAGATCCTACCCCTCCTCTGTAGGACAGCCTTTCAAGCACTTGAAAAGTGCTATCCTATCTCCCCTGAGTTTCTGTAGGACAGCCTTTCAAGCACTTGAAAGTGCTATCCTATCTCCCCTGATTTTTCTTTGTCAAGGCTAAACATGCCCAGTTCTTTCAGTCTTTCCCCCATAGGGCTTGGTTTCCAGTCCCCAGATCATCCTTATTGCCTTCCTCTGAACTTGGTCCAGGTTGTCAACATCCTTCTTAAAGTACAGTGCCCAGAAGTGGACACAGTCCTCTAGATGAGGGCTAACCAGTGCCGAATAGAGGGGAATTAGCGCATGGCTGACCTATGGTTGTAATAACAATAAAAATATTAAATAAAAAGAGATTCAAAGTGAAAAGTTTAGGAATTTAGCAAAGAAAGCTCTGGGTCCGGACAGGCAAAAACTCACTCTTCAATTTGTTAAAGCTCCAGATCCTTTTCCATTTCACATACGATAAAAAAATTGCAGATACTGATAAATTCAAAATCAGCTGAAATGGAATTAGCACCAGTGCTTAGTAAGGAATAGGCCCTGCTGATTCCTCCAGCTGATAGACCATTTAAATTTGTGTTACTCCTTATGGAATTAGGTTGAAATCCACTTTTTCAAATATCTTTTCAATTAGTTTTTAAAGTAATGTTTAAAATATAATATATAAATATATTAATTTTATTGCCTGTTACTGTGGTAGCTGTGGGAAGTCAGAAGAGTGATTGATAAATATAATAAATGATTGATAAATATAATAAATTTAATACAATAAATATCAGGACTCCTAATAAGAGTAATAAGAGCATCTGTTTTTCCTGATATGAGCTGACAAAACAGTGCTGTATGCTGGAAAGGCATCCAGCGTTGTGGGTCCTGTTTCATTTCGCTGAGGCTTAATGGAGGTTATGTAAAGGTTACCTAAAAGCGCCAGGAGATTATGACCACCCAAGAAGAGTCATGCAAACTCAGAAGACCTTCTGAGCAAGGAAGGATTCCCTAGAACTAAGATGATGAAATAGGGCTGAAGATTTTATCTAGAAGCCTATTATGGATTATGTACGTCTGCATCCTGTCAAGTTAAAAGGAAAGAAAAAAAACACCAAGGAACATAAATGTCCTGATAAATTTGTGGAACAAAGTAACTGAAGTAGTTTATTTGCTGGCTTTTAACGAGCCATACGCTTACGTACCTTTCTGCAAATATTAAGAGTGGGTGATACCTTTTATTGATCCATTTTAAAAAAATATCAAATAGATTGCAAGGTTTCGTGCAGGAATTCCACTTCATCAGGTTAAGCACACCTCCTTCAGGGATTGTGCAGAAAATTTATAGACAAGAGGGGGATATTAAAAATATATGTGCTAGGTATGAGATACAGGCCCTTTGGGGGAGAAAGAAGCCTCTGTTTTCTGAGAAAGGATGACATTACACCATGAAAAATGGTTTTTTTATGCCAACGTGGCATGGAGGTGTCATAGTTCACTTGGCTATTTTACAAGGCGGGCTCAGAACTCAAAAACATGTGGGTACCACGGCTTTAGGGGCTCCCCTGTCTGCAAATTTCACACCTGCCCGTGCCAAACCCAAAGAAATTATTACTTATTTGATTTGATCCAGTGTCTTGACTTTAAATTATACATATTCATTCAGTTCCGGGGGACAATTGGAATAAGATGAGTCACAAATGGCTTTGGAGTGAATTGAAATACAGTTCTGAAGCCCTGAGCGCTCCACCCTGCTTCCAGGTAAAGGGGCATCCCGTTGCATTCAGAAACGTCAGTAGTTCCACATACTGTATTTTTCCGTGTATAAGACTACACTTTTGTCTAAAATCTTTAGACTAAAAATTGAGGGTCGTCTTATACATGGAAGTAAGCTGAGGAGAAAAAAAAACAAGTGGAGGGGAAAGCAGGGATCAAAGCGATCCTGCAGTGCTTTGATCCCTTTCCCCCTAACCTTGCTAAGCCCCACTTAGAGTTCTTAATTTTGGATTAGAAAAGTGGGGGGGGGGATGTCTTATACCTGAGGGCATCTTATACACAGAAAAATACTGTATTTGTCATCAAAGCCTTTTACTGCTGCCACAGAGCCCCGTCCTGTGCCCAAGCTGATGCGGATCCTTCTCTAGTGAATATCCTGGGCCCAGCGATCTCCCTGACCCACTTCTTCTTTTTATTTTCCAGGCACTCCTTTCCAGAGGTCTCAACACCCTCATGCTACCTCCTGCCGGCACTTCCACCTGGGGCCCCAGCCTCAGATTTCTGCAGACTTCCCCTTGCCTCATGCCGTCCAGCCTCACATGGCACCCACTCACCAGCACAGTGGCCCGCTGCACCCACCTCTGCCGCCTCTGCCTGCCCTGCCATTCCAGGATGTGACGGGACCCTCTTTCCTACCTCAGGCCCTTCACCAGCAATACCTCCTCCAGCAGCAGCTCCTTGAGGCCCAACACCGCAGACTCATGCCCCATGCCAGGTGAGCTTCCTGTCCCCCTGCTAGGCAGTGCCATTGGGCCCTCGTCCACTTAGAGCCCTCCTTTACTCTCTTCGTAGAGGCGCAAGAACGGGGAGGAAAAAAGAGGGTGTTCCCCCCCCACCTGTCCTGCAAGATAATTGGGACTGTCTCAAAGGGAGTTTTCAAATTTATGGAAAGAATTTCAAGCAAATTGTGCAAACCGCATGCCTAAACTCCCCCATGTGCAGCCTTGTTGCAACTTTTGAAATTTGGAAGCCGTGGATGGTTTGCTTTCATCTTTTTGATCAGTCAACCAGTCCTATAGCATTTAGTCTCTGTGTGTGCTTGGCTTCACAAAGAAAGCACTTGTTTTGCAAAGAGGCATTTTGTACACATTGCAGAAACTGTGTCCATATCTATCTATCTATCTATCTATCTATCTATCTATCTATCTATCGATCGATCGATCGATCGATCGATCGATCGATCGATCGATCGGTCGGTCGATCGATCGATCGATCGATCGATCGATCGATCGATCGATCGATCGATCGATCGAGTCTGTCTGTCTGTCTGTCTGTCTGTCTGTCTGTCTGTCTGTCTAGCTTACACGGACACCAAGAGGATTCCAGCTGTGCCCCCATGTATAAGATTTCTTCCCATCTCTTTCCTGCCTTCAGTGCAGAGGAGACTAGTCTTCCAGCTGTGCTTAGGGATCTTATTAAGTCTCTCATTCTTGGTGAGACAGGCTGAGTCAACCTGTTGAGACAGCCTGGCTGAGTGTTCAAAACCAGGGTGTCTTGTGTTTAACCTCCATGCAACAAAACAACAGCTTATCATGGTTAGCTAGGCAATGGGTGTGATTAGCAGAATGTGCCCAACAAGCAGGATGTGATGAGCGGACAAGCAAAGATTTGCACACCAATGTGAAGCATGGCTCGTGTCTTCTACTGCTGGCACTGCCCATGCCTGAGCCTGCTTGAGGCAGCTTCTCATGTCCACGTGATCTTCTTCTCTTTTCCCACCCTGAGCACCAGTTTACTCAACAGGGCTCTCCTGTTGACTCGATGCGAAATTCCAAACTGGGTCGGTGAGTTTAGGACCTGAGGATTTTGCAGAGTCTTGGAAAGTTATCAATAGCTAGGCTAGTAGTTCTCAACCTTGTGCCGTCAGATGTTCTTGTACTGCAACTCCCAGAAAGCCTGGCCAACAGAGCTAATGGTGAAGACTTCTGGGGGTCTTTGTCCAAGAACATCTGGGGACCCTAAGGATGAGGAATCGTTGACCTAGGGGTTTCCTGGAGTTTTTGCGGTGCTGAAGTGTAACTATCTTGAATGTTGGTCTTTACTCCGTTCTCCCCACTCTTGCAGGCGGACTCAGGAGCACGTGTCTGTCCAACCTCATCGATTACATCCAAGCTTTGAATTTGGCCATCAACTTCAGACTCCTCAACCCCTGGGACCCCAGCCCAGATATTTAGCTGAAGGAACTGACTGGTAAGCTATTCCCTACATGCAGGTACTAGGGTTAGAACATTTAATATGGTGTGTTTGCTTTGGGCTGTTTTCCTCTGCTTTCTGCCACTGTGCTTCCTTCTGAGGGTGCAAGAATATTGATTGATTGAGTGATTGATTGATTGATTGATTGATTGATTGATTTGATTTGATTTGATTTATATGCCACCCATCTGGCAGCCAAGGCCACTCCGGGCTATCTACAACAAGTAACACAAAACAACAAAGCAAGCAAAATAACAACTAACGACATCAGTCCATTAGGGGTGCAGTGCAGTGAAGCTAAGAATGCAATGCAATAAATACAATTGAAAGCGTAAAAAATATATAAAAACATACAATTGAAAGCGTGAAAAAAATATAAAAACATGGAACATGGCAATATGATGGATGTTACATTATCGGGCACTATCGTGTCAAATATAAAAACATGGAACATGGCAGTATGATGGTTGTTACATTATCGGGCACTATCATATCAAGATGTTGTTTGTTCAGGGAAGACCTGTCTAAATAGCCAGGTTTTTAGTAGCTTTTTGAAGATGCTCAGTGAAGGGGCCAGGCGGACTTCGGGCGGGAGAGAGTTCCATAGTTAGTTGTGGGGCTACCACTGAGAAGATCCAATTTCTGGTAGCTGATTTTCTTCGGGCGGGAGAGAGTTCCATAGTTGTGGGGCTACCACCGAGAAGATCCAATTTCTGGTAGCTGATTTGGGGGCCTCTCTTGGGGCCAGCACTCTCAGCTGCCCTGCCTGCGACAATCTTATAGGACAGGCAGACCTAAGTGGAAGGAGGTGCTCGGCCAGACCACGAAGTCCCAAACCATTTAAGGCCTTATAGGAAGGCCTGGGAGGAGAAGACAAGAAATCGGGCCTTCTCGGCGGTGGCTCCTCGCCTCTGGAATAATCT